AGTTGGGGTGCAGACAGGAAATGGTAGGAGTGTAGCCTGACCAGATGACCTCCTGAGGCGTCGTGCATGCCGCCGACTGTCACAATGATTCCTTTGTCAAAAGCGGACTGCCTTCAAGGTCATATACCTTCGCAGTGGTTATGCCCACGCGATGACTGTCCACGCACAATTACCTTAAACCGGACACGCACACACGCGAGCTTACGCATGTGCCAAGGGGTCGCAGTTCTTCGAGGACCTACTTAGGTTCATCACAGCAGGTGACGCGTCCAATCGAGCCACAAGCGAACGCACTTGACAATCACTTATAAGCCACTGTCACCTCTCAGACGGTGGGTTGCACACGGACTGCGAGGACACCGCCAGTCCGCCCCACTGCGGAGACAAAGAACGCGCTGGAGATCAGCCAGCGGCAACTGACACCCGAGACAGCAACTTCGGGTTTTGTACACAATAAACTCTCCTCTGGGTGGGTTCCAAAGTTACGCCCTTTTTATTGTGTTCTTCCCTGGAGATTCCAACGGGCGTAATTCGACGGTGACACCACAAAGAAGCCACCGTCACAACTGGAAAGGTCTAATCTAATCAGCTGGCGGCAAAGCTGATGTCAACGCGCAAGCATGCAGCCAGCAGGTCATATGGATATTGTTATTCTGCCTCTAGAGTGAGCCAAAAGGTACGACGGGATTACTATGACCCATAACGCGATTGGTGATTATGACACAGAATAATCATAAGATATGCCAGTCACGGAAGGATGTCGGTCTTTAACCAAACACCTTTCCGGCCGCGTCGATGCACAGACACTTCAGGCCTTAAAAACATCCTACATATATACGTACATCTATTTGACCTGGCAATAAATAAATAAATAATCAGAAACGCAGCGGTGCGGCTGCTATCAAGGACCAAGAATGAGTCCCAAAGTAGGGTGAGTTCCGTTGGCGGTCGTTGAACGTTTATCAATCATTGTCAATATTTTCTGACAAGACAACGAGCTGACTGACGGAGGACGGCATATAATCCGGAAATGTTTATTCCAGTCTCCCGCTTGTCTTTGCCGGCAATACAACCTGCCTATAACTGTCGCCCTGACACTCATCTCAGACGATTAAGGTTTATTTGCCGACAGAGGCTCTTCACCCATTGATCTACATTCATCCAACCGCAAAGGGAACCCATCTGTCGCGCTCTGCCTGGGGACACGGTTGTCAGGTTCTCTGTCGAGACCCCAGGCAGAGTGGGACAGATACAGTAGGTGCACATTCTCATGAAAAACGTTGGAAAACGTAATGAATG